AGAGACCTATGTCCACCTGGGAATGCCCACCAGACCACTAGGCAAAGCAGATGCTGGAAGAGACCATTTGTGGGATTGTACAGGATGCCCACAAGTTGGACTTGTTCCTGCTGTCTCCCTGACAGAAGATAGATGTGTTGAACACTTCTCTCATCCCCCGCATTGCATTCATCCTGAGGGGCTCAGCAGTCCCCAAGGCCCCCCTCAAGAATGAGGATGCCGAGGTAAGGCAGCTGTTCAAGAAGTAGGCGCACCTGCTGCTTCTGGAGCAACCATCCTGCCCCAGGCTGCGAGAGCCAGCTGTGCCCAGATATCACTGTGACCAATGGGGACAGCAAGTGCATAATGATGGTAGATGTCACCATCGCATTTGAGAACCAGCAGCAAGATTTTGTTGAGGCCTGCGAGCAGAAATAAGAAAAATAACAGCTGCTGATGGACACTCTGAGAAGCCAGGGATATGATGAGACAGTTGACATGCTGATCATTGGGGCACTCACAGCATGGGACCCCAGCACTTAAAGCATCCTGTGCATCTGTCGTGTATCCCACCACTACGCCAAGCTGATGCAGCACCTCATGGTATCTGACACCAGCTGCTGATCCAGGGACATCTATGTGAAGCACATCACTGGACAGCACCAGTACGTGGACCCCACCAGACTGACAACAGGAAGCGACACAGGGTGGGGGAACTGCCTGATTGTCCCCTTCTGCTACACCTAATGAACTCCAAGGACTTCACTCACCCTGGACTATTCCCTACGCCCACAATTGTATCCCACATGCTGTTATCTGGAACTGTACGAGTGTTTTTATGAACCATCTCCCAACTCGAATGTGCCATCGTTGTGCAGGGTCTCCGATATATTACTCGCTGTATAAGCGTTGCATTCCCCACTCTCCTTTTCCCCTTCCCACACCCTCACACCCAGGCTTTGTTGGCTACAAGCTTTATATGTAACTTATTTATGTTCTCACCCCAACCCTCACCCTCTACTGTGTAGTCCCTTGCTCCGGTCTTCTGTATTTCCTTCTGCCTTGAACCGTGTCACCTGAAATTTAACATTTTCTAATAAATTAAATCTGTTCTTTTTGGCAGCAAGGGGAGGGTGTCAGGGCTGGCTCTGGCCCTCCTGGTGCCAGCCTGGTATTGCAGTACTTCCAGGCCCAGTGCCAGTTCTCTATGGAGGGAACACCCTCCTGTTTTTTTTTTTAAAGGGACACATGCACACAGTTCCCATCATCAGCATGTTTGCCTAATGTGGGACATGTGTTTTATAGTCACACTCAGTGTTGACTGTATTCAATCAACTTCACAGTTGGTTTACATTGCTGAGCACATAGTGCTTTTGGCAGCAGTTTAATGACAATGTATTTAGTGAGGTCTTCTTGTATACCAAAGTAAAATGAGAGTTGTGTGTGTCCCGTCCCCCCCAACCCCCATGTTGATTGAGGGAAAATACCTCATCTTGTATTCAAGTAAATACAGTATGTACACATGAACAAGTTTGCTTTAAAAGCTCCCAAGTACCCAACATATTAAACTGCAACCTTTTAAAAATAAAGGGGGTTTTTAATTGAAATTTTCCCTGATTTGGGATATCGTGAAATAGCTTAAAACATTGCAGAACAAAAAAGAGGATCTGAGGGGTGTGCAATCTTTTTAAAAAGAGATGATTATGTAAAAGACTGTACCAACAATTTCAACTGCCAGGAGATTTTCAAGAAACAAACAGTTACCTACATTCACAGATCCCCACCTGCTTTTTAAATATTTTCTAGAAGAGTGCACTACAGTAAACATTTAATGAGTTCATAAGCAATCCTTGTAAACAAATAGGTGACTGAATACCTTTTTCCTGGAACATTGGGAATTACCCTATAAACTCTTAAAAGGTCTGTTCAGGTTATAGCTGTTTCATAATGCCTTGAAATGGAAAATTACATACCATTACTGCATTTGTAGGAGTCCTTCCTCTTCTCCCACTCTACAAAACAAGATTTTATAAAGCAAGTGTTATAGCTATGCATAAAAGGAGGCAAAAAACACTGTCAATTGCAGGATACCTGTACATAGCCAGTCTCCATCCCCTTTCCATAATTAATTGGGGCCTGATTCTGGCACCCTAACTCACTGTTTTAGGATCTTATTTTCCAGAGTGTACACAGGACTGCTCTCAGAGTAAGTGACAGAATCAGATGCTTGAAAGGCAGACTAAAACCTGAATGGAATAAGAATACATAAATGCATGCACGAACAGAAAAAGCAAGGGAAAGAAAGGAAGAAAGGGTGAGAGGAAGGATGATGGCAAACAACCACTAATACATAATTTGCTCTTGTTGTACGTCCCATCATCTTTCATCCTACATAAAAATGTTAGGTACAACAGGCAGAAGTGTCAAGGAATTAAAGTACAAACATAGGCTCTTTCAGTTGCTTAGAAAACCAAGGTATCATTTCAGTTCTGTATGATACTGGGTTTAGCTATGAGCAATGATAATAAATCAAGTAGGAAACCAGTTAGCAGCTCAATACTGGTGTTGCTTCAAATTTCTGCTGTACAGGCACTGCCATCTTTTAGAAAGCCCTAAAACTCCAAAAGGTATAAATTTCAGGAGTGGATGTCTTTACATATCTATAGGAATACTGACAGTCTCCAATCCTAATGTTGCCTAAAAATGTAGGCTTTCAAGAACGCTTTGTTTTGACAAACTGAAGTTGGATAACTTTTATCGCTATAAAATTTAACCTCTAGCCTTATAGTAATGAATGTAACCTTCAGATGTAAACTGCCTGAAAATGAATGCTTGAACTCACCTGCAACAACAGTCCAAAATTAAAATAGTCCCATTTATTGCAAAAAAAATTAATTAAGCTTATTTATGAATATTTTAATTAGTAACACAGTGAGCTATTTTATAGTTGATGAATGTACACAAGGGGAGGAATGGCAGAAGGCACTGCACGGTAGCATCTTACAGACTAACTGGTTCAGAGAGGCATAAGCTTTCATAGGCAACAGCCTACTTTGTTAGATGCTAAGCTGGTTTCTAAAGTGCTACTCTCCCCTGCCTTCTGCGTGACTTCTAACATGGTTAACTACCTCTCTCTACAAGTGGAGGAGTGATTCTCATTTTGCAGATCCAGCTCATCTTTTGAGTGGCATGTCAGAATCAGATGGAGGTTGTCTAGAGCAGAGCTTGAGATATATCAGATTCCACTCTTCCTTCCCTTCACTTGACTCCAGATTAAAGGGCTATTCTTGGGAAGGAATTTGGTAATGGGCAAAGGAGAAAGCAGACCCAGACAACAATGTTTACAAAGGCTGTATCTTTAAACAGTATCTACACAGACTAAATGGGTATGGACTAGGTTTAGAAAATTAATGCACAGAACTACTGATGGAGAAGCATAATAGGATATATAGACCCTTTAAAACACAGTAATTTATGCTAGGGTATAAAATTAATCCTCCTGCTAAGAAAGCACTGCTGATGGAAAGGTCTGGGCCTGCATCTTACAAAGGTACAGCTGTACAGAGCTCCACTACTAAGCATACCCTACTACAGGAATCACTAGGTACATCTGCTATATTACCTGATGAGAGAGAGGCATATGGGGAACACTGATTATCAAGAATAGCCAAGATCGTTGAACTGAAGGTCAAGAACAGAGAAAACTCTGTAAATCAGATACTCTTTCTATCCTGCTAAAAACATGGGCAAGAGCAGTTTCTTTCTTTGTACTAATGGCATAAACTGGGTTCAAGCTATCTATCTCCCATATCAGGAAAAACCCAGGTAAAGCTATGAACTAATGGAGCTGGGACCTTGCTGTATTGTTGGTGGGAGAAAAAAGGAAGGAAAAGCACAGATGAGAGACTGATCCAGGATGTAAAGCTGGAAGCATAAACACAACACTTTCCTAAGAAGCTGGAGGCAGCTATTGCAATTGCAGAGCCAAAACAGTTTCAACAGCACTTTAACTATACCCCATAGAAAAGCCAGCATGTGCTGAGTCCAATTGAAAGACCCCCAAAATGGCATGAGATATGTGGAAAAAGCATCATTATCCTGTGTAGAGGGAACCTGAAACATCAATTTCCACACTCTTGTAAAATACTGAAAAAGGCCTTTTCATCCTTTTATCCTCCCACATTTTCCCTTTCTTTCTGAGAAACAGAGTCAGGCATACAAGTAGCAGAACAGAGCAAAAAGTCTACACTTCCCATAGAGGATGGAAAGAGGATGGAGCCTGGTTACAAACACATCTGCCCCTGTGATTGACAGTGATTTTGCCAAGTGTCTCTACTTGCCCCACAGCTTCCTTGGAGGTGGAGCAGTACAGCTTGCCATATGAAGTCTTGTAGTATGGGAGAAGACAGGACGTACAACAATTGAATCTGTGTGTCAAAACCTTTTTTTCACAGTGTACATCTTACCTTTCAATGTCTTAGGCCAGGTATTTTGATACCTATTCCTTTAAACTTTCCACTCTGAAATATTGATAGCACCATGTAATTCTACTAATGGTTACAAAGCAGGAAGTGAAGATTTGTACACTACTGTGCCATCACTGCTGGTAGCGTCACCTTCCAGAAGTAGTGCTCGTGGAATTTAAAACAACTATGGATGTGTTTTACTTTAAGTGCAAAAGGCAGATGTTTTAATTTAGCAATAATTAAAATAAAATAGAATGAAAAATTATCTTTTCAGGCCTAAATGTATTTCTAAAATAAAGCTATAAAACATTAAGATAACAGAGAAGAGGGAGGAAAATCATGGGTGGAAAATAAACTTGGTTTTCAATGAATGAAAAAAAACAAAAACACAAAAATCCTATTGGAAGAGAAAAAAAATAAAAACCTGGTCACCTTAGAAAGACAGCAAGCAGCATACATAAGCTGAACACTGTCAGCTGTATTAGCTCAAAAACAACCTGCATATTTTGGCCCAATTCCTAACATAAACAAGAAGATTGGACAAAGCCTTCATACCTGATTAGATTGATGTGGTTATTAAAGCCTCTACTAAGGCTTCGAGCAGGCATTTGATCTAACCAAAGCACAGGTTGGTCTGGGTCGGCTATCCTGAAAAGATAGGTAATATTTTAAATCTAGAAAGAGAGAAAGTTGTGAGAGTTTCTAAAGTACATTTTCTAAAAATTAATGTGTGGTTCTGAAAAGCTGGCTCATGCACCAATGCTTTTATGCAAAAGCTGGCTTCAGAAATGGCAAAATCAGTTGTTTCTTCCTTATGGAAACACGTACAAACTACAAGAGGAAAAAAGAAACTCAAAAACTTCTCACTGATTTAATTTCAAACTGTCTAGCTAATAACTTTAGCTAAATGAACATAAAGCTACAAAACATTCTGCAGTCTTTCATAGCTTGGGTTTAACTAACGGGCATCACTAATACAAACTGTGGAACAAAAGTTAAGAAAGACACTCACTGACAATTTTAAAATACATGCTTTCCCTCTCAGTTTCCACCTTACTGTGGTATCTGAGTGCAATCACTTAGCAAGAGCTGAACAGCTCAACAGCTGTTCAGTTCCAACCCCCCCAACCTAAAAGCTGCAAAGTGGTGCCAGATGGCTCAAGACTGAAGTCTTCCATTTAGCCATAAAACAAGTAGAGAGCAGAAAGTAGAAATGCAAATTTCAATATTATCTCACCAACATACTTCAAAGTTTTGGAGTAGGCCTCATTACTGATCCTGATTGATAAGTTACACAATAATTCTGCACAGTCAGCCCATGCTAAAACTGTTTCTATTACTGTTAGTATACCTCCTCTGACCTCATCCTCACCCATTTGTTTGTTTCACCTATCTGTTAGATTGTGATCAGATTGTAATAGTATGAACTCTCTTATATTGCATCTGTACGTAGCCTAGCACAACAGAGACCCAACTTGGCCAAGGTCTCTAAGTGCTATTGGATCTACATCCACCACTTCTATAATTTATTCAGTTATCACTAATGCAAAACCTGTGACTGTTCAGTCCGTCTTAAATTCAGGCCTCTAGCCAATGAGAACTTGTACGCGTATCAAGTTAAGGGGTTGGTAGCTCTTTTAGCATTACCTTCGCCATTTCACAGCAATGTCAAACATATCTCTCCACTGCATCAGTCTGGTTTTCCCATTCATTCGAACTTTTGAGTTTGTCCATGTCCGTTGCACGGCCTGCATTACTTCTAAAGCAGCCAGTCCCATTGCTGGATGACAAAGAATACAGAACCAGTTAGTCCACTCAGACTTCCCATTTTACAGATGAGGGAACTCAACCAGAGAGGTAAGAAATATATTCAAAAGAAAAAGAAGTGTCAGTACGAATGCTAGTAGGAATACAATAAAAATGCATGAGTTCATGGCTTCCCATATCAGGGCAAATCACACCAATTCTGAAAGTATTTATATATGAATATATAAGATACAGTCATTTGTAAATTTTATTTGAACAGAATGTACAGATTTATTTCAAATATTACCAGAATAAAATAGTTTTATACTTGCACATTATTTTGGTTCAATTAGCTTAATTTACTGGCAAAGCAAAAGGCATACCTCTATGTATTCGCTTATTTGGAAGAAACCCTGGTGTTTCATACTGCATCAGTGAACCTAAATGATCAGCAACACATATCAGCTCTTGAACCTCTGGCTTATAGCTTTCAAAATTCTGAAGTAGCACATCCCTTGAAGAAAAAGAAATCACAAAGTAAACATCAAGTGCCACCTGTTGAGACGGCTCCCAAAAGAGCTTATAAACAGATTCTGCAGCAGATGTAATCAATGCCACCTGCACAGAAAAGAACAGCAGTACTAAATACAAAAAAAGAACAAAATAAAACCGACACAAAACGTACTATGTACCAAAGTTACATTTATAAATGCAATAAAGAATGAAATCTTGGTCCTATTGGGGTCAATGGCAAATGTGACATATCAACAAAGACAGTTTTTCACTCAGATTTTATCAGAACAAACCAGGAATATTAAGCATATGGCTTATGAAGCCAGGTCATCTGGCCCACGGGGCTCCTAGAGAGACTTGGAATTGTCCAGGAAGCTCCAAATGATACAAGTTTCTTAGCCACTTTGTGTTAAATGAAAATAAAATAAAAAAACCTGAAGGCTATTCTACAGAAAGGAAAACAAGTTGTCAGGAAAATGTCTATTTATTTTGCTTATGAATTTTTAAATCCTAATTTGATAAATCCTCTGTCAGTGACCAATTCTGGAGAATGCCGTCTAAATTATTGAGGCTCCTGACAGACTTTACATCTAAAGTGCAATTAATGTATTCATGGAGCAATACATTGTAACCTGTTACACAGTCAAGCAACTTATCACCCAATAACAAGCTGTAAATATGGTGACCCAGCCACAAAGATATCACTTGTTAAGTGATGCACCTCTTTTGTATCAAGCTTTAATTTCAGCATGTGGTATGTTTCCACAGGTCTCCAGCTTAACAGGGTGGGAAGCTCTCCTCCTTTTCCCCCTCTTTTCTGCAAGGGGACTCTTGACTCATACTGAATTCTGCTGCCCCAGGATGGCTCAGCAGATGTCATGACTCACTATCCCTCCTCCCTTTCCCCAACCAGCCTTCCAGGCTGCTCTTTTAAGAAGCCATTAAGCATCTTTTCCCAGAGGGGAAGTAAGATGGACACAAATACTCAGCATGACGTGGTTTACTTATACACAGTAGGAATGTGCTGGGGACAAGGAAAAGCACATACACAAAAGCACCTCACAAAGTGTCCCTGGAGATTTCAAGCCCTGTTGCTCCTCCTCTGCACAGGGCATCCCCTGCTCCTTTACCCAGGGGGAGCTTAGCTACTGAACTCCGAGCTCATTTCTCATTAGCAGCACAGCTGAAGATGGTGGTGGTAGTAGTGGGGAGGAGAGTAAGAGGGGATGACAACCTCTGCCAGCAGCTCTCCTACTCCTCTTGCTGGCAAGTGCTGGCAGAGCAAGTTCTCAAGGTGCTTTTTTCTGCTCTGGATAGCCTGCCTACGAATATGAAGCAGGAATTGGACAAATTCTTGGAGGAAAGGGGCATCAGTAGTTACTGAGCATGGGAGTTGGAGATACAGCCTCTGAATTAGAACTTCCTAAACCTTAAATGCTGGAGGCTGCAAATGAGAGAGGAACAGTGGAAGAAAACCCTGGTCAAACCCAATTTTATCTCCCTTTCAGCATCCACTCTCAAGCACTGTGTAACACAGGGTACTGGGCAAGATGCATCTATGGTCTAACCCAGTAAATGGCACTTCTAATGTTCTTATGTCACACAGATTGATGGTTTCCATTGAGCAAGTTTACCTATTGCTTGATGGAAAAATGTTTGCCATGGGGCCAAACTTCATTAAGAAAGAGTCACAGTTAATATATTTTGTCAGATGAATCAAAAGAAATCACTTTTAATTTAAAAAAATCTTTAACTGCTTAACAGCAAAGTGACTCCAAATTAAGGTTTCTAGACCACAGATAGATTTCCAGATGAAAGTATATCCTGATCTTCTGTAGCATTAAGCAGTGTACAATTTAACTACTAATTCTGTTCTTAGACCAAATAATTTGGGGAGGAAGAGAAGAGATTAATATGGCTGTGTAACCTAAATTAACATTGCTTGATTACATGATGATTAGGCAGGAATAGAGAAAGTGATTTTAACCAACTCTGAATGCATCTTTTCCGCTCAGCTGAATAACTCCAGTTGAATGAGTTTTCTATGGGCTTCCACTTAAAGACGGTTCAAAATATCATGATAAAAGTGAAATCCTTAAAATGCCAGCTTTTTTTTTTTTTTTTAAATAAGGCAGTGGTCTCCAACCAGTGGATCCCAATCGACTGGTTGACTGGGGAACCCCTGACAGTCGATCTCAGTCTGGGGGGGCTAGCCCCCCCCCAAACTAAGATTGACTGTCAGAGTCTCCATGATCAGGAGCAGTCCCGATACAGTCTGGGAGCAGCAGGATGCATGTGGCTGGACTAAGCTGCACCCCCTACCACTGGGGCCGGGTCAGGTGACTGAGATGATCCCTGTCCACACCCCCTGCCACCAAGTGAGTGTGGCCCTGGCTGGGCCAGGCTGGGGGAGGGTCAGAGCCCAGGAGGCTTGTCCAGACACGCAGCGGGGCTCCTGCCATTGCACACACCCCAGCGGAGGCCCAGAAAGCATGTGCCCCACCAATCTGTATGCAGGGTGATGCGGTTGCTGCTATACTCTGGGCTTTGTGCCTCGAGCTGCAAGAGGGGCTCAGGGAGCAAAGCACAGCAGCAGCCGTCACCCCATGCACAGATCGGCAGGGGGGTGCATGGAACGGAACACATGCCTTCCAGGCCTTTGCTGGGGCATGTGCAGCAGCAGGAGCCCCACTGTGTGCCTGGACGAGTCGCCTGAGCTCTGACCCCCCCTGGCCTGGCCCAACCAGGGCCCCACTCACCTCTGCCCCACTCCCTCCCTCACCGCAGGGGCCTCAATCTGCCCCCTCAGCTGCTGGGCAGGGAGGCAGTAGATCCTGGATTGCCCTTTACATCAAAAAGTGATCTTCACCTTAAAAAGGTTGGAGACCACCGCTATAAGGGATCCTTACAATAGTTTTTGTTTAAAAGAACTTACTTTATATGTGGCTGCAATCCTGGCTGTTCTTCATAGTCTTCTATAAGAAACGGTAGATTCTTTGCCCAGTGATCCTTAAAGTTTCCATGAAGATCTATATCTATGTTGTATTCTGAGAGAGGGGTATCCAGATGCGAGTGCAAATAGCGAGAGTACTCTGTGGAGGAACGAAAACCAACAAAACTAGTACTGGTATTTAATCCAAACAAGAATTAAAAATAGTATTCCATATTTGTTAATTATTTAAGAGCAATATCTTCCTAAATAAAACCCCAAATATTTAACTTTGCTGCATATTAATAAATGAATGCCGTTAAGGAGTATTATAGCTCCTTTTATCCCTACACAAAGACCTACATTTGATTTCTGTTCCTCAGTTTTAACTCTGAACAAACATGTATGTATGTAGACTGGCACATTCAACAAAATTCAATGAATAAATACAGCTTGTTTAAAAATGGCTTTCTATAAACAGGATTCTTACACTTGTACAATTTTAGTGCTATGTCAGGGAATCTTTGATGAGCAATAAAACTTACCTCTGAGGTATTTCACTTTTAGGTATTCTGGACTAGCCTTCTGGCCTGGTAATGGATCGTTCAACATAACTTTAGTTTGAGCTTTTATACCTTCATAAAACTGCCCTATTGCAACATGACTGAGACCCTTCATATACTGACACACTTCGTTATATGGCTCTAGCTGGAGACACCTCTAGAAGATTAAAGAAACAAGGCATTAATAAATCAAATGTTAACACAGATATCTTGGAATAAACTAATGCATCAATAAGTTCATTATTCAAAAACCCCACACCAGGAAAACAAACTATCACTTTCAAAACTCAACAGCAATGGTTTCTCCAGTGGCCTCTCTTTTCCAACTGACATTAGAAAAGAGTTTAAATGCTAGCGGAGATGGGGAAAAAAATTTTCAGCTCTTTTAAATAAAATATGAAGCGTTGATGAGAGGAACACGTTCCTGATCACCATTTTTTGAAACAAGAATTAAAATTATTTTGCTTAGGCTACATTAGCAATTAGAATGTTTTAACACTTGTTTAGAGGCGAATTGATTGCTGACAAGAATCCATCAAGAACAGGCATTTCCTGATGTAGAGAGTGCCCAAATATAGGAAACAAACTTATTCTAGAAATAGGATATTAACACAATGTATTCATCATTTGTCAGTTTTTCTTCCATCAAGTAACATGGATCTCAAAAGAGAATTCATGCACTAGAATACTTATTAAATTCTGTATTGCATCATGTTCTTACTAGCATAATGCTGAAGAACTGGACATATTCACATATGGTGCTCCATAATAAAAATTCTCTGAATATGTGGTTCTATTAACAATTTGGAGTTGTCTGCACCTCTACATACAGCACTTACTATCTTAAAACTTGAGCTACATTTTCAAGAACAGCAGCATCTACAAATTACAAAATGGGGACCTATGATAATCCATATACAGGCACAAAATAGTCTAACCAGGCAAAAGGCTGGTATGTCCTTTTTCAAACAGGAGCTAACTTCTTAGACCTAGTTCTGTTCTTTGCTCCAAGTGCCTTGCTGTGTGCAACTCTAGGCACGTTATTTAATAACTCTACCTTGCTTTTCTCCATGTGCAAAATCAAGATGGGTAAATACTGCCTACCTACCTCATACACAGGTGTAAGACTTAATTCACCTGTGAAATGTATTTATAAATTTAAGGTGCATCATTCAAGGTAGGTTAGCTGTTATTGTTTCATGAAAGCAGCAGCTCAAAAGATTCAAAGACAACAAAATTCAGATGCTTATCTGAGGCCCAAGGTTACAAAAAGTACATGTTTTTGAGAACAGGCCCATCTGTGCCCCTAGGAATTACAAAACTGTGTGCTCCAGTTAAGAAAAATATTATAGAATAAAACCAATTTACTGCTTCAAAACCTCATTAAAAGGTTCAGTAAGAATTTGGTTTAAGAAACCAGTAAGTGTTTAGAGAAAGTGTCTCAGTTCCCTTGCATGCCAGAAATAGTTTATGATTAAATCAGGACAAGATTACATATTATACTTACAAAAAGACAAAGATGATTAATAAATCTTGACTATGATTGCAAGAGAAATTTTCATTCCAACTCAAATGTATAAATAAACATACATTTTTCCTTATTGTTTAAATTTTCTATTGCTAATATTAATCCCAAATGACAACTACAAATCCTTATATTTTGCACATTTTTAAGTTCCACTAGAACTTACTTTAAAATTCTTCAGTGCCTCATCTAGGCTCCCATGATGGTATAGCATCATTCCCTTGAGCTGTAATGTCTGGACATGATTTTGATTTAGCAACAAAGCCTTCTGGAAGCTCTCTGTGGCAGCATCAAAGTTACCAAGTTCTCTGCGCAGGTCATAGGTAAAAAGATATAGAAGGCAGCAGTGAACATACTAACCTAATTTTTTACCAAATAGTGTTAATATAGTCAAAAAGAGAGACATACATGCAAGTCAGGTTACCAGAATTTTGTATCACTTCAGATATAATTTTTTGACCAAATTAGGAATTCTGCAACTGTCCTTCAACAGTGATGCCCATAATTCTTTATTATACACACATACAGACAGTTATCCAGAATTCCTCATTAAACACTTCACACCCCCCTGAACCCCAGCCCATGGATACAGAATCGTATGAGACCCTGGATTCTCACAGCTGTTTGAGCATAAACCACAGTCTTTGGAACACTGCACTTACAAACACCAAAGGAATGAGAACTCCTAACAGCAGCACTCCTGAAAAAAAAATCTATGAAAAGATTAGCTAACATCCAAATAGGAAAACTTATTCCATAGAAATGGACTCATTTCTCAACCCCTGTAACTCCAGGCCTCAGAAGACCACAATGAGCTACCTTCTATCCCTCCTGAGTCCTGGTAAAAGAAAGAGAGGAATCTGCCACTACCTCTCCAGACCTGGAAAAAAGGCTATGAAGTGCATGAAGCCAGAGGAGTAGATGTGGAGACTTGAGGGCAGCAAAAACATGGGGGTGTATAACTAATTCCTGGACAGAGAACAAGTAGATAAACAGGTTTAGGTGACAGAGAATTCATTATGATTTGAGACTGGGAAGAAACTGGAAGCTTTGAACTATCAGGCAGCTAACAACAGCTCTTACACCAGGAGCTAATATTGCAAACTTGATGAAACATTGAGCAAAATGAATATTAAATCACTTTAAAAGCACACAAAGGGTGTGGGACAGTACTTAAAAGGATGACATTATCTATATAATTAAAAAAAAAATCTTACTATATTGGGGGGGAGGTCTGGCTCATAATTTTGTAAATTTGGAAGGTTGGCAATACTAATTATTCTAAATAATCAGGCTCTAGGATTCTCAAATGGTAGTTTTTCTGTTCCTTGACAATTTTGGTCCACATTCTCCATGTATAATATGAGGATGTAGCCCCTCATCTTGCATGTGTATTGTTGTGATGAACTACAGGTTTTACTGTGATATACCTGTGTTAATTGTGTTTTTGTTGTTGTAGTATAGTGTGACTTGGTTTACCGCCTTAGCCTGTCCACTGCTAATGTCAGGTCTCCTACTTGCAGGGCAAAACTCAAACTTTTATCATTACCTATAGCAAGAAACCTTTTTGCCTGGCCCCCCTTAAATATGAAGTTCCTCCATATGGCACAAGCCCCTTTTGCAGTATTTGCCCCCTTTCGGAGATGCTTTCTCTTTTCTACCTTGTCTTCCTTCCTCCCTCCCTCCCTCTTTTTCTTTTGTTATATTATTCTTATTTTTATATAAGGTGTACTGGTAGTGAAAATAGAGCTTGTAG